CGTACGTTAAAAGTCTTATCACCAGTTGTAAGTATTTTGAAGCAAATGATGCAAATATAAATACAGAAGTTCTTTAAATTTTATATTAGACGAAGAAAGGAATTAATAATGCAGAAAGGATTATCTATATTTCGAAAGATTTTCATTTAACGAACTTGGTGCATAGGAAGGGTAGTTAATATTGCCAGTTTTGTATCTTAAATTATTTCCTTGCACGAGCGAAGTTAAGGAAGCGCCTTCTCAATAAATTATTAGGTTGTTGCATATCAAATAGCCAATTGCGCAAAGTAAAATGTTCGCGCAATTTGATAATAGAAAAGTACCATAAAATAACACTTCAAAGTTTGTAGCCTTTTTATTATTATTAAAGTTTCCAAGTCGTTTCGAACCGCTGTCAATAGTAAATCAGTAATAGTATTAATTTCCTTGAAAATAACGTGTTAATTACTACAAGGGTGGCCATTACCACAAATCTAATGAAATTCTAAAAAATAATAATTATTCTAATAAAATATTCCGTTCTGTATACGGTTGTTTCCACAACGGCAGCGAACATGTCAAACCATAATACAGATTGTGCAAAATCAATATACATATAATAAAATATTAACAATCGCGAGTGAAAAAGCAATTAATCTTCTACAATGACAGATACCTATGCTTCGCTATGAATGTTTTCACGAAGAAATGTTTGAAATTGAAAAACAATATTGACAGTGAGTATGAATCTACAAAGCTACGAACTGAAGTTCTGGAATTATATACCATAGGGTGATTCTATTAATTTAATGAAAAATTAAATATGCACCACACGTTTATGCACAAAGTGTATAGGATTCATAATTAGCTGGAGAAATAACGATACGTGAAAACATACCAGTCTAATAGGTGAACGAAAAAATATTTTGTTCTGCATAAAGAAACATCACAGAAGATAAGCAAAAAACTAATTGCATGAGTTTCGTGTGCGCGACTGTGACTCGTTGAGGATTCGTTGCATCTGGCGAGGGAAACGTGAAAACAAAGAGTTATACTCCTTCGCTGCACGTGCGACACAATTATTCTTCAGAACAAGTGAATACTTGATAATTTGTTGAATCGTCAAAATAGAAATTATTCTGCTGTTAAATAACTTGATTTTACAATAATTTTATATAGTCATTAGAATGTGAACTAACAGCAATACGTAACAGAAATTAAAAAATTAATTTTTACATAAATGTTTAAAAAAGGACGGAAGGAATATTTTCCTGATTGTTGAGACTATTGCCGAAGGTTCGAACTTTTGAAATTAAACGTCCTAATTGAAGCGTTGCATGGTTGAGAAAAATATTTTTATTAAATAAGGATCAAAGAACTGGCGGACTTATCGCAATTTTATAGAGATGAATAAAGTTTGATGTTGACGATTCTAACGAAAAGCCGCTCGTTGACAGGTTGATTTCCTTTATGACGGATGTAAGTCTCGTTTCACAGCGAGCGACTCCGTATCCTCAAAGTTTATCCACTGCCTGTTGCGAGAGACATTATAGTACAATATCCACTTTTCATCTCTCGTAACAGCTCTGTCGAGGAACGTCTGATATTTCTCACTTGAACAACAAAGAAACTGATGATGCTTACTCGATCGATAAGATTCTTTTTCTCCCGAACGTGCTATCCATTTTTATTTTTCTTGTTCTAAGTTCACGAGCTTTCCCGCCATTTTCTCAGCGCCTGGAGTATCAGACAATAGCTAATAAAAAAACGCGACGTTACAATTATTGTTTCGGTTTTACCGATTTAGCGGGCATCGTAGCAACAAATTGAACGGAGATCCTATTTTCATGTTTCCCGTATGATTCGGCAAACTATCCTACGGACGGAACGAGTTTCGAATGAGTTACCGTTGCTCGCATTAAGCTGGCTGCAAATGCGAGAGGGTGAAGGAAGAACGGTTGGAAAACAGGAGAAGAGGGTGAAGAGGGGGGTTGAACCGGGAACGAGCGTGAAGTGATTTCAGAGGGTCGAGATATTTCAGGCTCCAGAAATGGTGAAATAAAGCGGCCGCGCGTTGTGCTGTTCATGGCTCGTTATTATGCTATATGCCGTGTCCTCGCTGGTACTAAGATCCTTGCCGTAATGGAAATGTGAAGAGGGACGATGCGGTATGATGTGGTGTGCTGAAGTTATGGGGAAGGAAGATAAATGCAACCTTGTAAAAGACACAGTGTGTACTGTTGCTGTGATACATAGAATTGAACGAAGACTCTAATGATAAGAAATAACATTTTTAAAATGTTAAAAGAACAAAGAAGTAGAAACAATGTTCCTTTTTAAAATTTTATTAGACTTGCAACAGCAAAGTTATTATTTTGATAAAAATCATAAATAAAACGATATCATAAATTATATTATAAATTGACAGGTGTAAAAATGAAATTTAAAAATAGCATAGCTCGCGTTTTCGTCTTAATTAAGTGGGAGAAGAAGAAATGAAACGAGCAAAGGAAAGATGCATAAGTTTGTCTGTATTATGGTCTTCTGTGCCGCGAAATTGGGCAAGAAGAATTGAAGAAGAAAATATTTCGCGACCGGGGAATCGAGTCCCACACATTTGCCAGCAGATGGCATAAAGAAACCGAGATACTGTCGTCATAAATAGGGATGTAAGCACCCACGGGACTAAGCAGACGAAATTCTTATTATTTCGTGGCATTATAAAGAGGCAGGCGGAAGAGGGGGGTTAGAACGTCGACGACGCCGACGTCGACGTCGGCACTCTGGCGATTTCTAGCCATTCTTACGAAAATAATCTCACGGAAGCACGCGAATCTGATTCCCCTGTATTTCGTGCCCTAAAATTCTCGACTTTCTCATCATCTTTCCTTAGTTCGTTCTGCTCGTTAACATGAAACATCGTATTATTTTCAGGGTTTGACCTGATTAGTTGCGATTCGAAACGGCTCATTTTATACACACGGGATGGATAAAATAATGAAAGCAATAAGCTATTAAATTGTTGCGAATCAAATGGCTGAGTTCGAAATGTACAGTATCGATCACAGTAGGCTTCCCCAGGGATAGTTGCATTATAAGGGAAACAGGAATTCTTAAAATTTTATATTTAACGATATCAATGTTGACACTGATACAGAAATTAAATAATATATTTAATTATTCAATATTATAAAATTGAATACATGTATAATTAAGAAATATGAATAATGAGTTAAATATCAATTCAAATCCTCCCACATAAATGTTTATGCACAAGTGGTGGGATCCTCTCCTCTAAATCGCTTCCCGTCATTCTCTTCGGGACCACCTATGGGGAGGGGCGAGAGCTCGGGGAACACTACCCTGAGGAAGCCCACCATGCTCGGTGTTGTGCAAAGTTTGACAGGGTTTGATGATATACAAAATAATAAAATAGCAATTAAACGTTTCAATTTTAATAAAAATAACTACACAAACCTTTTACTGATCTTCTTAATACAAAATGGTCGACTGTTGGTTACAGTAAATCACGAATGGTACCAAACGATTCCAAACTTTAAATTTCATTCTGAAAATCTTATTTAAATATTCGACGCCGCGCCGGTTATTTCTCGAATTTACTTGCATTAAGTTTTTCATTCTAAAGCACGCTTTCCAATTACGTAGAAAGCTATCGACGGAACATGGCCAGCAATGGAAATGTTTCTTACGTAATTAACGTTACGTGAACGGTTTGTGAAACTTTTGAAAGAGGGTAAAGGGTTAATAGCACTGACTACGTGTTTCCTTGAAACCTGATGTATTTTTAGTTTCGCAAGCTGTAATTGTACAGAGTATACTTTCTGAATCTGTTCCCCTAAAGGGTGCTTTGATTCTGTGTATACAGAGAGCACCGATCTGTCCATAAATTATACCAAGTTTCTCATACCAACAAACAAGCTTTCAGATTTAATTTTAATATATTCACCTAGCTGCGTTTAAAATTCCAGCTCTGATATTCCCCATCGTGCCAAAACTACAAATGATTGACTAAGCGAAAGAGAATATTAATAGTAGAAAAAATTTTGAGAGTTATGAAAATACCAAATTTCTATTTGCCAATTAGAATAAGTAATTGAAAGATCCGTTTTCTCAAAATTTTCTTCATTCATGTAAGTACATAAATTAATCTTATAATCTTCAATTTAGTTAATTATCAGCTGCCTGATCCATAAATTAAATTAGTATTATGTATATAAATGATTAATCGTAAATAATTGATTGTAATTACTATAATAAAACGTTCATTTCGGAAGAATGACGTCGAGGTCCTAGATGCTCAAATAATACATCAGAAGCCACCGTTTCAATATAATTTTGAAACTCTGTAACTGAATTGTAGATACATGAGCTGATATTTGTGTTTTCGTGAAACTCTAATAGAGGCTTTACGATTAATTGACAGAAGAACATGACGGACTGTCCTATTTCATATTCTCTGCTAGCAATCCAGCCGTAAATCTAGAATAGATGTTCACATACCTCTTACACGAATCTATTGCATCTTTGACCTTTCTATTTCAGTTGAAGACTGAGCTCTCTATATTTTACGCTTTATATGTCTCTTATCTATCTAAATTGATTCAAACAGTTTCCTCAGCGGAAAGTTTTACTTGGTTAGTAATATACAAATTGAATAGAATTTCTGTGGTGAATATAGAAATTCTAGAAACTCCAATAAATGTCTTTATCATGTAACAATTTCAATATATAAGATGTTTCATCAAATCTGTTACAAATTAATATTTATGAATTTATAAATGTCATAAAATGACTTTTCTTAAATTTCTTTACTATTGCTAATAAGTAAATTTTTTTACTTCTTATTAATATAAGTTACTTAATACAGCTAATATAACTTACCTAATATTTATAGTGTTTAATATTCTATAAATATTAAATTATAAAAATTGTACCTGTTGTGAGACCAAAACCAGAATAGGGCGATCACATATTAATTATACAATTTTGCTTGTTTTTAGATCCGAATTTCAAGGAACCGATTGCCAATGTAACCGCATCAGTTGGACGAGAAGCAATTCTGTCCTGCCTGGTTCAAGATTTAGCTGGGTATAAAGTGAGTCATTGAATGCAATCAATTTTTTATCAGTTATTCTTTTATTTCTTTTCTACATATAATTTTCAAGATGTCTTTTCCATATAATTGCACTGGAATTCTTTGGTGATTTTTGAATTGTTTAAGATCGTACCTGATTCACTGTGTTTTATTAATCCACTGAGAGCATAGTAAATTCAAAATTCCATTACCATTGTGATATGAGATCGATTGAAAATTAAATGTACACTAATGGATAATACTAAGCTGCAAATTGGTTAATTCACTTGTTTCAATGAAAGATCAGTTATTTTGCATTGATAGGACTAATGAAATGTTTATACAGTTATTTCCATGAAACCTCAAGCTTTAACGTATTTATTGGAATAGGAGATTCTAATTATCGAATATTAGCATGGATGATGCCCCTTGGAAAATAGCAAAAATATATATTTTTTTTATTAAATAAGTACCACCCTAATAACTATATATTATTTTCTCTACTATTAAAATTAAGAAAAAAAAGATTTTCACAAGATTTTTCTTGTGAATTCCAAAACCATTTAAATCCTATTTATAGTAATTCTTTTTAACTTTAATAATAGCAGAAATAATTTACCTGATTTAAAAATTAACGCTCCGTGTACGTTGTTCTAAGCAGAAGAATTAATTAGTTGGTTGAAAGCAAAATTTGAAACTTCATCTATAAAATTAGAACCTTGAATAGAACAAAATCCATTTCAAATTGGATTTCGTGTAGGTACATTTTTCTCTCTGATCTTGTGGAATCATATTCACGTAGTAGTTGAATGCGATTCATGCATTTGAAATCAAACAATTTTTTATCTCAAACTACTTTTTCCATGCCGTTCGTTTGAATCCTGATTCTATCATAAGCAAATGTTTGCTTTTAATACACCAAAATTAATCGTTACATTATTATCGAAGCTATTCAAGGAAAACCACTTTTCCAAAAAAACTTTTCTGCAAATTTAACATGCCAGACTGGAGCTATAGAAAGTTTGACTAGGTAATATTTTTATGATGAACAAATTTTATTTACGTTGTTAGATATTGAATGGCCGATTTTAAGAAACAGAAGGTATGGGACAATTTGATAACAAAATTATCGCAATATGGCACTTACGTTACATCGCTTCGAAGCTTAAAATGATTATACAAATACCTCGTTAATGTTCTTAATACGAACTGGCTGGTTATCAGTTCCAGCAAACAATGGACTAGAATCAGATTCGTGCATTGTTCCATTAGGGGTATCAATCAGAACATTGTTCTGCAAAGCCTGCTGGTAATTTAATACAAAATTTAGAGAAGGGTTCGCATCGAGGAAGTAAAACTCATAGATTTAATGCTTGGTAAAACAGTATTTCAAATAAAAGAAATTATTTCCCAATCTGTGCCACATTAATTAATTCGAAATAATTTGTTTTTCTAATTATTGAAACATATTTTTGATTTTACAAGTAAATGCAATACATATATTTTGAAATGAATATTTCTCTCATTATACGTACAATGAAATATTTGAGTCTTGTTTTCATGAAAGTGTATCTAGTGTGTTATTTATATTCGTATATAAATGAAATTCTCTCTAGCATATAACTGTGCATATTTTTCCGTTTACAAATTTCTGTGTAATTTTATATCTAGTTATCTTTTCTTTTTTAAATAATAATCGTGAAAAGTAGTATTTGAAATGATCAAATTTAAGGCATGAAATGTTATTTCAATTAATTATTTCCAATTAATGTTCAAAAAATCATTATATCAATCAAGAATTACAATTGCAATAATCTAGTACAAATTGTATCGTGGTAATTAGTGTTCAAAAAAATGTTTTTGTTATCGCTATCATGGTATGTACTTTACAGCGTGATAAAATGAATAATTCATAAACAAGTAATGAAGAAGACGCGATGAAATTTATCGGCAGTACTTTTGCTGCGTATGTACTTCACGATAGCAGGTATCTCAATTGCAATAAGTCACCTTAAATGGTAATACAATGCTAATAATGCAGAACAACGGATAAAGAGCTTTCATTAACGAATTGTCTGCTAATTGAGATGTTGATTATCAAAGTGGTTATTGTCACTCCCAGCCATTGGTGCATTTTTATTAAATAACATCATTTTTCAAATGTAATGTGAATACGTAAGGAAAAATTATTATTAAAAATTACATTTAGTTTGATATTATATATATTATATAAATGCAAGCTGATGCTTCCTTTTTACCTTGTCATTAATGTGAATTATTATATATCACATATAAACTGACAAATTTTTTTATGAAATTGATTATAAATTTACAATGTATGCTTCGAAGTAAAGAAACATTATTTAATTTAGCTTAAATAAAAAATATTCGATGCATACATAATGTCAAGCTTAGAAGTGCTTCATTCTCAAAGGATTCTATCTCCGGTATGTATCCAATAAAGATGAAACCTTTCAGGAATTATTATTTTCAAACTGCAAAGAGGTCTTTTTCCAACTGCATCCATGGTATAATATGCCAACTACAGTGTATAAAATATTATTTCATGGTGCAGAAATAATATCCTACGCAATTCTACCAATTGGACAGTTGGGAAAAGAAGGAAAAAGAATCCAACAACGAAGATATTAAGAAGTGTTGGAGAGATCATATTAGAAACTGTTTCCTAATAAAAAACATGGAGAATACTTTTAATAAAAACTAATCTAACCACTAATCAGAAGAATGTTTTAAAAGTGTCGAAGACTTTTACATACATATCAGATGGATAACTATTGATTTGAACCTATTCCGCAGTGAACAAATATAACTCATTACATGAATAAACATCTTGAAATAATTCTATTCAAATAGAGCATAGGTTAGATGGAAGTACTCAACGGTAATGGGGAATTTGAGGCATCATCGACAATATTACAAGATCCGCAATTTATAGATCTCTGTAAACCCGGGATTGGAGAGATCAGTAGACTAGAATTAGGAAGATCGACAAGCTATGTTCTCGAGACGGTAAGCACTCAAATCTTATCGGATTCCATCCTGACGTCATTCTTACCCTTCTTCTCTCATCCCCTAATTGGTGGCTACGAAGTTATTACCTGGATACATCTCCATTGGCAGCTCTTCGGTTAATTCGTTCGAATGAAATTACATTGTATAGGTTGGGAAGAAAATTGACCGTATTCTTCAGACAAGGACCCGTTTTTATTCCTCCCTGTAATGTTGCTAATTAATTAATTAACTGTTTCGCTGCTGTACGAAGGAGATCCTTGAGACTGAGGGATAGTCAGAGTTGGGACGTTGAAGAGAAAGAGGAGGAGGAACAGAGAGAAATTCACTTAACTTTTTCGTGAACGTTTAACGAGGTCAATGGGTTAAACAACCTTCCTGGATGTCTATGCTCTAGATTCCTTTTTGCTTGCCGGGTACTTCCAGTAATACCTACCTATTCTGAGAGAGAGAGGGAGAGGGTCGGCCACGTTTGAAAATATCAGCGACCGGTTTCAATTATAACGAGATGGAATATCATGGAAATCGTGGAGATTCGTTACCCTCTGATGGTGGCTTTCTACAGACATCGGTTCGTCAGAAACAATTACGTTCCTTGAAAGAACGAACCGCGCCACTTTAAAAATGACACTACCTTTCACAGTGTGAAACGTTAATTGCCTTTATTTTAGCTGAAAGAAAATTCTTTGAACGAATTGCGTAGTAAAAGGAAACGGGGGAAATATTACGAAGAAGTTAAAAGTCCTTTGAAAAATGGGTAAAGGTACGGTGAACATCTTGCAAAAGAAATTCAATGTACTTTCATTTTATAAAAGAAGCTAAGAATTTAGGAAAAATTTGATTAGCATAGTTGTATGTAATTTTGAACTCGTAATTAAAATGAACGTTTCTGTCGCCATTATGACATTCTAATTTACAATTTATTATTAGTACCTGTTTCAAACTTCCAGCAAGTATAGAAGAGAGTATTTATTTAAAAAGTAACTGCAATTTAAGTAGGTGCAGTGTACATGTCTATTTTCTGTACTCTACTACAGTTTCACTGTACCGTGTAACGGATTAGGAAAATTGCATAAAATATTTACACAAATTTCTTCGACATAATTAATTGATTTACTTCTTACACCGGCTGCTTTGAAACTGTTTCCGCTACGACTTCCAGCTGTTTTAATTAGCGTCGTGTATTGCAATAAAAGCGCCATCATCCTGCTTTCACGTTTAAAAGGGTCACGTTAACCTCACAGTACTATAAAGTGCTTAAAAAGTATAAGCATATACATTTATATGGATTAAATGCTGAGAAAACGTAATCGTGTGTAATAGCAGATGTGGAGTCTGAATAGCGCAGAAGTACTGGAAAATATTTTATAAAGTGTTTCACACGGGCAAATAAACAGTGTAGGGAAAAGGGTCAACGCGCGATCAGGCAAAGAGAGGGTACAGTATCGAGCACGGTAGATTTCTGTATAGAAACTGACGCTGTGAATGTTAAAGTCTCCATCACTCGCGTTTAAATACTATTGAAATTTTTGTATTTTTCAAATGCGCGTCCAATATTACTCTGGATTTTCCAAGTATTATAACGACTGGTGGAACTTTCTTTCCCTACATCGCCGTTTTTCTTAAAGAAACTTTTTCTTACGTGGAAGAAATGTTCAACAAGACACCTCCAATCCCCCTGGGGAGGGGTCGGAGGTAGTGTGGGATTCTTACCCACTAAAACCTCCAGGGTGACCTGCACTGGAGCTAGAGGAGGGCCCCGGGACCTCTAACGAACACGTCGGGACCCTCCACTCCTGGCGCATAGGCGCCGCATCTCGGGGGAGGGTCACGTGCAAGACCCTTGCTATCACCGCCAACATCGAGGACCACACCCCTTGCCGGAACTCCTCGGGCCGCGTGCAGTGATGACTGGGGCTTAAACCCTGGCCACCTACGGCCCCGCTTCGGACGTGCATTGGGGGAGGGGCCGATTCCCCTCCCCGGGCCTC